TTTCAGAAGGTTTCCTCTGCAAATTGAGGGGTTTCGCCTTTTCAATAATTGGTTTCTCTATACACTGCTATTGTCCCCAACATCCATTATCTCCGCAGGTATTCTCGTCTCCTCTTCATTCCGATCGCTATAACGGTTTCCTTGGTCAAACCGAATTACCATGCGCCGACAATGGTCTTCGCGGTCCCGTATAGTTAACCCTATGCAAAGCTCGATGATTTCGTTAGCCATCCCATCTACCGAGACTTGGGGCGATATTCTTCTTGGCCTTTAACATTCTCCTTTGTGTTTACCCTCAACTAATTGTTATGATGCTGGAACCATCTTTTCGATGGTCTCTACGAGGGAGTATGATGTTAGAAATTCCAGCATTTCGGCGATGATCTTGATGACCACTACAGTCCCATCTTCATTTTGGCCTTAAATGTTCTATTGATGCCTCATATGGTTTCCACTGTGTCGGTTCCGTCCTGTAGATAACCGATAAGTATTGCGTTCACAGCTGATCACAAGCCGTTGCTGAAAATCTTCAATTCAAAGCAGGGCATTTTGATCTATTAAACCAGCCTTCTTCAACTGAAGGCAGTCATTCTTCTTAATTACGGTTTCGATATGCGCTACTGCCGCACTACTGACTTTGGTCAGACTGACGCCCTTTCTCGCCTAATCTACAGTCATCAGGAACCTGAGGAAAACACCATGCTCGTTTCAATTTCAATTGAGAACGATGTGTGGCGTCAGCCTTCGGACACCATACGAGACATACCTGTAATTGCCACCGTGATCGAGGCACGTTGAGCGCTGTCTCCGTCTTCGGCATAGATTTTTTTCCCTGCCTGTTTCTTAGTTCACAATAAGTGTCAAATTACCGCTAATTATTGCCATTAAAGGACAATTTCTGTTTACATTATTACTAATATGTACATTTTATCTGCGCACACTGTCACCATTTTACTATCATACTAAGTTTTTTGAGAGAGTGCCTTCCTGACGCTAATAAATATAAAATCTAAATAGTGATGCTCGACGCCGGAAAAGCTGGTGAATATCACCAGC